GATGTATGGACTAAATTTAATGGATCTTCTGGAGAATGTGTTTTGTGTTACTGCTGAATTGTTTAGTGCCACTGAAATATGTTCCTAATTTTAATGAATGTACCTGCATTAACAAAAAGTATACAGCGACAACACTGGATATTGGAGGTTAACTAGTAAAATTTATGGCATGGCATGGCATGACATGATGTGACATGACATGAAGTGACATGACATAAAATATATATAATATAATGTGATTAACTCTTGTCCCACTCACCATCTAAACAGTGCAGGCTAAAGCAACACAAGCCATGAACAGAAAGTTTGTCCAACAGAAACTATATGTTTTCCATGAATTTGCCATGAATGGAACCTTAAATGAATAAAAGCAGCAAACAGTGACAGAAACATGACTATCCACACATCAAGCTTGTTGTGCACTCCAAACACATCTCACACCACATTGTGCACTTGCTTCTAAAAGCATCTGTATTCAACTGAACTGATTTCATAACATTAAGAGAACCTGTAAACACTCTATGTATTATATACACGATAACCAACTTAAAGACAAGTGACACACATAAGGTCTATTCACTAACTGAAGTGTGCTGAACTAATAAAACCACTCGCTTACATTAGGATTGTGGTTTACAGTATATTACATTATGACACAGATTAAGTTGCATGCACTGGATTACTTGTGTCTTTCAAAGATATAACCTGATATCTGTCCCGACTTTGACTTGTCTTTATCTCAATGTCAAATCATACACCCCACCTCTCTCTCCACACACACCAACACACAGAGTCATATGATTCACCTGTTTTGACCCCTTAGATTCCAACCTTTGAGGTCATCGAGCCACACTCTGACTAACTCTGTGATAACATCGCTCACACTAGTAACCACTAGATATGATTGTGCTCTTGTCATGTTGGGAAAGACTTAGTGGTGAATATCTGCATCTTGATCTCTGAGTAGCACAACAACACACGGGTGCCTGAATGGTGACTGCACAATGCAGCATTGTGAAGGCAGCGACAGGCCTCATTAGCTGCACCACATCCTGGTTATCTGATCTCGAGGCACAGTCTGACTTCTACCAACGCTTGTGAATTATGACTCACCTGAAGATCAAAGGCTCAAGTGTCGAACTCCCTGCCAAAGCCACATTTCCTGACAAAATGATATCAAGAATGTGCTAACATATGAAACTGGAGACCCAGATTTGAAACAGGAGCTGTTCTGGTCAGTGTTAGTCAACATTAATGCACTGAAAGTGATGAGATTTGTTTTCATGACTAAAGTAATACTGTCTGTACACTAAGTTCATACAGAGTTGAAAAAGATGATTTGAGATTATATTAACAAGCAGTGAATTATAACTGTAATTGTCCTTTGTGTTTGGGAGTTTAATTCCCCCCTCTGTCAAATTATTCAAGTGCTCTTTCTCAGTTTACATTTTCCCTTCAAACTAAGCAGGCACGTGCCATGGCTTGATTCATTGTCACGGACAGAACATAATACACCTTTATACAAATAACCGTCCTGCTAAGTGATACTGTGGGTTCTCCTTAGGACTGAGTCACTGAGATTAAACACCCAGGCTCTCAAAATATTTTTCAACTCAATGAGGACACTGGGTTGAATTTGTACCTTCAAAGCACCACAGAGGACAATCTTGGCATTATGGCAACAACACATAGGCTACATATTACAATGGGAATTATGTTTGACTCTTAAAAACATTGTCAAAGTTTAAAAAGGTATGAAGCTCTGTTCACCAGACAGTGGCCAACTTTGTCTGGTGTGTGGTGCTGAGCAGTTAGTGTATAGTGTCTTTTTTAGAGCTTTTTATACTGAGAACAGTTCACTGTTGCTGAGAACTATGCTGATGAGAGCGGGGAGACTGAACCTAAACAGGGAGCTAACACAATATAACTGGTTTGGGTAATATTTCTCTGTGGGAATAATTTTTGATTATACTGTAGCCACTTTATGTATGTTATTTGGTTAACTGTTCATCTGTATTTCCTATATCTAGCCATTTCTGCCATTGAGACAGATATTCAATCACTTATACTCCTTCAAACTTTACTTTGTAACAAATCATTTCATTTTCTGCAGGCTTTTCTAAATGCATCTGCAATCCTTTTAAACGGAACTAAAAGAGAAGACAATATCACCCATGTCTTGGAATCTCTCCACTGCCTTGCAATTTCCCTCAGAATATGTTTGAAAAGTTTATTGATTATATGCGATTAAATTCATTACCTCAAATTTACACTACACTAATGCCTCTGTGGACAATTATACAAAGTAGTTTAAAAGACGATTTCCAGTCCTGTACTAGTCTGCCAGACAGAAATCTGCCTCCAACCTCCATCAAATTGTTTGCCTCATTTAACCAAAGGGATCAATAGTAAATACAGTACAGACCTCTTCTCTTTGTTCATAACCTTGTATTTTTTCACATATTAGATATGAAGTTAAAGAAATCATTTTCACTTCAGTTTAAATCACTTCATCCACTCAGAAGTGATTTGTATCAGGAAGTAGGATCTTATTCTGAGGAAAGGTTACTCAGATCTCCAGGGGTTGGCGTAAGGTTTTACAAACAAAGAAGAATAGTATACTTGAGCTCACAAGAGTACATTATTTTCCTTAAAAAGGAGTCTATATCGGAAGAACCTTCAAATCCTGTGCATAACCTGGGCTTGGTTTTCCCCAAACAGTGTTGCACAAAAATTCAACAACTAAAGATGTTCCCAGTAAAAAGATAACCACCCCAGGCAAAGAATCAAGTGGAAAAAGTCAAGGACATATCACAATCTTCATGACAAGAATTTTATTTTCTTTTTTTTTTTTTATTACATTTTGCATTAAATTAAAGAGTTTTTTCTTTACAACATACATTAAGCTGTGAATCAGATGTTAAGGAAGTGGAGAGAGTAGGGCAAAAAACTTTGTGACGTCACAATATCTTACAAGCTTACAAAGTTCAAAAGGTTGAGAAGAGAGTCGATTTGCATCTAATAGCAGTGTATTATAACAAGGGTGAAAGACAAAAAGGCACACACCAAAGAACCTCACTGTCCACAGCAGCCTTTACAGTCAAACCCAATCCAGTCTTTAAAACTTTACTCCAACATCAAAATGCTTGATATTGCAGAATCTGAAACTCACCCACAGCAAAATTTACTCTTCTACGCAGGATGTGGACACTTAACCTTCTGACCCAGACAGATTTTCTTGTTCACACTCTGTGTAGAAGCGACAGTTCTCCAAGGCGAGAAGCTGATGCAACCAAACATTTCTAGAGACAAGAAATATTAAGTTGTAGATCAGCATTATTGTAGGCTTGGGAAAGTTGCTGGCTCATGCACACCTGAATCCACTGGAGGGTTTAAATAGGGCCTTGTAGTGCCCAGTTACCAGTCTAAACTGCAGTGGTAATCTGGAAGTATGAAGTAAACACAACCCTTCATACTAATCATGGGTCATTTGCACTTTGATCATAGCCTTAACTAATCACTGCTATAACTGTCTCAGCTGACCCCAGACCATGTTTCTGAAGGGGCAACTTCCCTGTGGCTCCCACTTTGACCTAATGCATTACCCATGACCCCGTCATTTGCAACCAAACCCTGCGAACTTCTATGTACACATATGTTAGTCAGGTCATAGATCCTACACATCCTTTCTCACGCTAGCTGTGGATTGAGACATAGTTGGCTTTCCTCCGTTGAGAAACAGAAAATTGCTTGATATTAAGAAAACTTTTACCTATCTACACATATAACACTAAGGGAGTGCTCCGTTGATTTACGTGTTGGGGGGGGTCAATAAAAATCCTTAAGTAAAGTAGATGAAAGAAGAAAAAAAAGGTCAGATTAGTCAAACTCTCAGCCATTCTTAAGGCCCTGATAATGAGAGTTAGTGAAGCAAAATAAAAACGTATCTCTAAACGTCCTCAAACTGTGTTTTCTCTTTTTTTTTTTTTAAAAAGGGGGTTAAATAAGGTACATTTTTTTAATATCACTGTTTTAAAATGTCAACTTTCTTCACAGGAACCAGCCTGTTTATGCAACTGCCTAACAAAGAAGTGTTATGATGCAAAGAAGAAGCCAACAACTGTGTTAGTACACTGGGTGCTTACGTGTAATCCCATTCTGTACGTTCGCTATGGTGTTGTCGTTGCATTATTATTGCAGTGCACCAGAAAGATACACGTACATTGGCCTTCTCAAGTAACAAATGTTAATTGTTCAGTTAATCAGTCAATTAACCATCACTCCAAACAAAGAGACAGCAGAAAAAAAAGTAAAAACAAATACCAGGACTTTTAAATTGTATAAAATAGAAAATCAAAAACACTCACAACGTCTTCATCAACACTGCCAGCACAACATAAAGGGTTGCTTTAAGCGCATTAATGGCACAATCAGAAATGAACCACAAAGATGAGTGTGTGTGTGTGTGTGTGTCATGTGTGTGAGAGAGTGAAAAGAGGAAAGAGACTCCTGCTTCCTCTCTTCCCTCTGGACGGTAAGTGTGTTATGTCTAGGGACCAGAATTACAACAATAACACCTACATTCTTTAATTGCATTTTTATCAAACCAGGGAAATATCATGATGTAAGAAAAATAAAAAATACTACAAGGAGACAAAGTTAACAGCTATGAAAGAAAACATTGTCACTACTTTAGGGTGTAAGGCACAAATTTACATGTGGAAAAAAGAAGCAGGCAATACAGATGTTTTTATAATTTTTTTTTTTTTTTTTTCGCCTGCTCATCTGTGTGACGCCGGTAGAAAAGACGATAACGTTCCAAGACGGAGGCGACGCTCCGTTCGCTTGCAGCGTCACTTACAGCTTCTTTTTGTATGTGTGTGTGTATGCAGATTCCCATACTGTTGCTGCAGCTGGTTTTTCTTATATTTGCAACATGCAACAGTGAGCTTTGATGGCACTGGTAAGCCAGCAACCAATCAGGACAAATGTTACCGACTCACACAAAACCACAGTGCTGATTGGGAGGGGGGGAGAGGGGGGGCTCATTGGAGGAGTGAAAGGGTGAGATTTAGGAAGTCTTTTTTTATGATTGGTCTAAAACAATGGAAAGTCTGGTCCATGAAGGTAAAAGTCCCTGTCTGGCACAGTTTAAATAAATATCTCCTCCTCTTCACATATATCTCAAGCTGCAGGCCCCACTGAGCACTCAGTAAGACCTAGTGGACCTTCAGTCATCAAGAAAGTTGTACTGGCTCCAGTTTAATGACTTTAAATAAGTTTTTTTTCTCACACTTGATTAATTAATATTAAAAGATCTCTTCTCTGTCCTCTCTCTCTCTCCGAGCCTAGAAAGTCAGTCTTTTTTTTTTTTTTTCAAAAGCACTTAATAAAAATAAATACAACGAGCTATTAGTATTAACAGTCATGTGTTATTCAGTAACCAGTACAGTAGAGGATTCTTCTGGCCCAGGCTTTCCCTCTAACCCAGGCAGGACTTGATTGCTGTAACACTGAGAGGCTTTTCACAGTTTCCGAAAGAACTCAGGCAGCCATCTGTCCATTCAGTCTGAGCTCAGTCTCTCTGAGTGCCTGCTCACTCAGATTCCCCAGTCCTCAAGGTACTGTACAACGATTACTCTCCAAACTCCCCGGGCTGTCTTCTTATGTGCTTTTACCAGCATGATAAAGTATCAAGTCAAGTCCCGGTGGCCAAAGACACCACAAACAAGAGAGCCACCGTCTTGGATGCTACAGAATGCCGTTGGATGAAATATTCAGGACAAGCATCATCTTCTTCTGTTTCAGTAGCACATGTTCCCATGTGGGCTTACAAAGGAACTGGGAGCCAGACAGAGCGTGAGCTCTATGACGGCAACAAATGACGACAACCATTTGTATAATATTTACATATTTATATAAAAAGAAAGTGTTTTTTAAAAAAAAACTGTTGCATTTTCCACTGTACACCAAAAACAAAAAACACTAAAAGGAGATGCAAGTTGTACAGTATTCCCTGTTTTTTTCTCTCTTTCAGAAAAACCTTTCACTACTGTCTGTTCACATTGGACTGACTGGCTAACAAGCTGACTATGTGCAGGAGTCACTGGACTTGACTTTTGTTGAGAGTGAGACTACAGAGGGTTTGGGAGGGACATCAGGCTTGAGATGTTTGATGCCCGTTCGAGGCAGTGAACCATAGGAGCTCATTCCAGGCTGCCGTGACAGAGATATGCCCTGTGCTGTCATTTGTATCGAGTCCACCCTCTGAGGTGCAGGCGGTGGAGTCTCCACACGGTTGAAGCTGTGATGTCTTGCCAAATGGGAGGAGTTAGATGAGTTGGTGTTGTGCTTCTTGAGGGCAGAGGATCCGGACGCAGCGGATGCTGATCCTTTCCGGAGCCCGTAGACTGACGAGTGGACCTCCAGGCGTTTGCCCATCTGTGGGACAGCAGGAGGGATGGTGAGGGAGGCCTCTCGTTGGGGCACACGAGGTGGCAGCACCCCATCTGGATCCACCATGGTGAGGTTGTGACATGGGCTCTTCACTGTCTTGTACTCCAGGGTGGCCCCCTGGTCGTCCATGACAACGTGGCCCATGCTCAGGTCACTATGGTGCGGCTGCTCCACATATTCATGCTGGTAGGACTGGTGTTGCTGCAGATGAGGCTGGAGCTGGTGCTGATGCTGTGGCAGAGGCAGGACTACCACGCTGGGGATGTGCCCCGGTGATGCCCTCAGGGGCAGATCTGTAGAGATAACAGGGGAGCCCATAGGTGGCATGTCCTTGGTGCAGGCGTTGATGAGGTTCTGGTTCCTCTCCCACTCACGGCTTCCCCGGCTGGGCTTACGACGTGGCTGCATGGGGGTGGATTCAGGCGTTGGCAGAGCAGTGAGGTCCAGGTGGTGCTGGTCTGCTTTTATCAGCATCTTCCCATTTGGTGTCATTCTCCCATTGTGCATCAAAGGGGTGAGAATTGCCTCAGGGCGACCATCTTTGGCCTGTGTCTCAAACAGGCCCGTCAGCTTAGTCACGCTGTTCATGGATCCCCGGCGGGAGTGGAGGTGGTGACTGTCCTTTTCCTTGCGGCCTGTCAGGTCCATGTCTCGCCGCCGGTGGTCACAGACACAGTAGACAATGATGCCAGAGAAGATGGCGCCCATGGCAAATGCTAGGATGACAGCTATGGCCAACAAGGTCACAGGAACCAGCTGGTCACGACCCTTCTGGTAGCTCTCACGGATCACACCTGCAGAGAAACGGTGAGATGACATTCAGACTGGCAGACTGAAAAAAAGGAAAGATGATACGGCTGCTGAGCTGTGGGGAAAGTTGCTTATTATTAGACTAACTAAAAAATAGAAAATGATATTGAATTACAATAATTAAAAATATTTTGTGGGTAAAAAGATTAGGGGTTTAAATAATTTCATGAAAAACATGCAAATGAAGACGGGTTTATCCCATCATGAGGAACACCTATTCAGAACGGGCACAAATGGTAGCTTGAAGTAGCAACATTCAGTATTTCCCGAAAATCCAATCTTAGACTGAAAATGTGTTTTGGAGGGGTGATTATGATTCACATTTTAAATCCCAGATAAAACCCTCTGCTGAAATGAAAAAAGATATGAGAGCAGATAAAGGAGCCTGAAATACCCAAACCCTTTCTTCTCATCGATGCAAATGGGAGACTTTTCATAAAGCTTGGATCCAATCTCATGAATCACAGAGAATACATTAAAAAGCCTCTGATTAGGCGCTAAATCCAATGAGCTGTGTCATCAGTGTCTTATGAAAGCGCCACTTTCAAAGACTGGCAAAGACGCGCTGCAATACGGCCAAATAAAAGATAATTCAATAAAAGCAGCTATGAAGTATTCTCGCGGTGGGGAGGGTGGGAGCAGCAGGTTGTGCGTAATGAAATGGGGTTGCGATGATTTGCACGCACGTACACATGACTGTGGAAACATGCACCTCCCACACAGACACACATAAACACTGATGATAGCCTCCAGCCTGTTGATGAATGTAGACATCTAATGCAACACTTTGTTCCTCGGGTTAAACACACCAGTCCACAGCAGAGAGATTTATAATGCGTTCACACATGACCTGTGGCCAACACAGATCAGTTACCACAGACAGAGGATTAGACAGGTGGGCTCTATCACGTAAAAAGCTCCCACAGTGCACTGCTGGTCTTGATAACATGACTCAGTTACACGTGCGTGCTGCGATCCTGGTAATATATTATTCACTGTACAGTATTTACACGTGAAAGACGTGAAGAAGTTCCTGTGGAGGTCAAAAACAAAAAAAAATGTAAAATGCAAAAAAAAAAAAAAATGAAAGCTTTCAGGCAGTCTGGATGATATCACTAAAGATAACAATAACCTGATCCTCATATGTATGAATGGATTTTAAGTTCTCATAATCCGTTATGCCAGTGTACATGTAGTGCAGTGAATCAATGTCTAAAATAAGCACTGTGTGGGTGATATGATTTCTATAGCGATTTCAGAAATCAAATACATTTTCAGTTACTGGGAATTTACATAAAAGTGGAGAAAATGGCAAAAAAAGAGGCTATGACTGTATTGTCTTGACTCCACCTCTTTAAACTTATTTCTATTGATTTGCATTTGAAACTGTAATTTTTTTTTACTACCCTTTTATGACTGCCTTGTCTGTATTTCTGGTTGTTTTGTAGATTTCCACAAAAAGTAGAAATGTATTTTGAAAAGTTAAACACAGCACTGTATTAAATATTTGAAATTGAAACAGGATATGAGCTGCGAACATCAAAGTTTAACACAACACAGTAATCAAAACAATTTTCAGCAAGCAGATCGATGCAATTTTCTCTTTTCACACTTTGCTGTTTCCACAAATCACTTCACACTCTTCTTGCAAATTATAATTTAAGTGTTTCGATTTGCTCTGTAATTTTCCAAAAGAAGATGCCACAAAATGAAGCGTTAGTTGCAATAATTCTGTAAAATCCTGAAGGGGCTTCGTAATCGTGTTTAGGCTTTTGAGCTCGGCTGTGTCACCGAGGACGCACTCTGAGGATATCTTCTTTCTCCGTCTCCTAAGCGAGACATAACACAGACAAAGAAACAGCATGGTAATCTGTTCTCATGGAACCGAAATCCAGACTCTCTTCAGCTAACATCCATAATCCTCGCTAGCTGCAGTCATACTTCATTAGTCCAAAAACACGACTTAAAACTCATTTTCCCAGCTGGAATAAAGCACGGAGCAATACCTCAGTCACCGCATCAACTTTAAAGCTCAACTAGGATAAAAAAAAAAAAAAAAAAAAGAATGGTTACTTTTGCTCTGATCGTTCCTCATTCACAGTAAAAACAAAACTTCACTTTCCTCTTTAATAGAGTGCCGACAACATGCAGCTCAGCCATACCTCATTAAGTGTTAAACAAAAGGTTTAAAAACTTCTTTTCTGGCCAAAATCATTTCTTATCATCAGGGACGTGCCCGGCTGTGTAGATAGTGAGAGACGTGACGAGTGTTATCTGCAGAGAGGCATTAGGGTTTGACAAGTGTTATGCTGCTCGTGTGACCAAATGGCTCGCCTGTCTGATGAAACCATCTGCTTTCCATCTCATACAGTAACATCTGAGAACGAGAGATACTTTTCCTCGCTGCTATCTTTCACTTTGTTGACTTTCTTCTGTCCTCACTTAGATCTTTTTTTTTCTCTCCCCCCACTTTCTGCTACTTCTCTCCTTTATAGAAACAATGAATCACTTTCCTGACTTTCTTCTTGTTTCAGGGTGTTTTCTTTCACACTGCTTGTCTTCCATATGGTAAGTGCTCTATTCAGTGGAAACTATAAGGCTGTAATTATAAACCTCATGCGCTTTGAGAGTTATCATCCTTTGGCAGAAATGACAATGAGAGCTGCTGGGTTAAACGTTTCTGCCAACAGTGAAGAAAAGGAAGAATTCAGCTTCACTTGAGGTGAGGAGACCCTGAAAATCTCAAAAAATCATTTGCGCAAGAAAATGAAAGTGCAGGCATAAACAAATACTTTGGAAAATCTCTCTTTTATCCGTAATCCATGTTAAATGTAAATACTTTCATCCATCTCTGTCTAGAGTGCTTACTTCCAGTCAAAACTGTTATGAATTTTCATGACAGTCAATTTATTGCTGCTAAAGGTTAACTTATTTCGACCGGGGCTTTGGGGTTCACATTGAATAACAAAGCCGGAGGGCAGCAGAGCCAAGCCGGTTGTCCGTTCCGGTGACGGAGGCGAACTCTGGAGCTGGAACTTTGTCTTCTATTTCAGGTGTGGGAACCGGGGTTAAAGCCCTATTTAACCTGCGCTGTCTTTTTTTAAAAGATGATCCTCTCATTCTTTTCCTCACTCTTTCTTCCCTTCCATCCATCTCTCATGTCTCTCGCACTCACGCACACTTCCAGAGGGTACTTCGCCCAAGGCCTTGAGTAAAAACACAAAAGAAAGAAAAAGAGGAAACTTTGAAGACTTCCATCTTTCATGTGAGGAATTGTTTCTCATCCTAACATCAAAGAGAATGAGAGCGGCCACAGAGGACACCTTTAGCTGTCTCTGTCGAATCACAGGGCTTCAGGGTTTTGAATCAAGGTGGCTGTACGGCTCATTTTTTTAGAGACTCGTTTGTGATCTCGGCAAAACTTTTGAAAACTTTTCCAACGTGACCTTGAAAACTATTGAAGTGTTGCTAAAAACTCACAGATTTTCTGCTTTGGTCTCATCTCGTTGGCTGTTCTGACTGTACAGTGACTTATAATCTTCTGGTTTCAACTCTGGCCTCGCCCCCACAATGCATCGCAAGGCATCCTGCATTTCGACACTTCTCTCAGTGGTTGAATTGATTAGAATTTCACACCGCCCCGGGCCTCAACATTCAGATATTAAACACGTATCTCAGATACTCAGATATTTCTCACTGTCAAAACAGCCTGGGTCGGCAACACTTGTAAATCAGAAACGTTGTAATCTTCTGTGACTGGAACTTGTGAATGCTCTCTCTCTCTCTCTCTCTCTCTCTCTCTGTCTGTCTGACACACATAGACACTCTTACACTCACTTCTTCAGAGGCACCAGCTGAGTTAAGCCCACAGAGCTCGTCTTTGTGTTGGTGTTGGGAAAACTTCAAAGGCAGTTTAACATCACAGAGGGGTTACGGAGAGGGCCCTAACCTCTGACTACAGGCCGCTACACACAGACGTCTGCAAAATGATAAAAATCTTAATCAGACTTCACTGCGCTCATGGACTTGCCACTTGTTGAAAGAAAGAAAAGTGGACCCTGACAACTAAAGAACTATCGGAGCAGAAGAAAAGATGAAGAGGAGGAGCAGAAAATGTTTACTCTGCCTTCACTGCACTGAGAGCTTTAGAAACTTCTTATTTGCTTTCAGGGACTTGCTTGATGTCATCTATTAAAAAGGACATTGCTGTTTAGATGATGACAGCAATTCATTAAGTTCTATTGAATCCACCAGTTAAGATATTATCCCATTTAGTCTTGTCTATGTTTGCGTTCGAGAGGCTCTTAATGGTGTTATTCAATATTAAAGCATCAGACAATCCTTAGTCAGTGCGCTGCATGGTAATGAGCCAGTTAAGGTATAATTAAACCTCTAATTATATCATTCGGCACCTCAGGTATTAACACCAATGTACTACCTTATCCACCTCCCTGCATACAAACTGTAGTATTTAATGCTCACAGGAAATCAGGCTAAATTAAACATCCCAGGGAACATTTTTCATCAGCTGTTTGATGCCTTAAATTGACACTATTACTGTTTGTATTCATGGGCAGTAGACTTCTTAGAAGACACTGCCCAGCATGAATAGCTCAGCTAAAATAAGTAATCCAATTATTTCTGTATTTTACCACTTTCATGTGTTGGCATATTGAAGACAGCAGCTTTCTGGCAGAGCAGGTTTGCCACATGTATTATAATCATAAATCCTAAAACTTATAAAAATGATATATAAAAACTTATAACTGACTTATAAAAATTTTTTCTGTGGAGAAAAACTCCTTTTTTTTATATAATCTCGACTCCTGTTCAATACTGATGAGGTCACTGTTATACAGATGGAAACCCACTCATTTGTATTTCATCTTGCTTTGACTGCTGAAAATATGTGGTGAGCTCCTGACCTCTATGCGTCACTGAAGTGCTATGTGTACGCTGATGTGTGCGCTGTAATTCATCCAGT